ATGTAATGTATACAAAAGCAATGAAAAAGAAAGTTAGATGTGCTGTATGGTGCTCAAGTGTACATGTAACAGTTACAATTTTAATTTACAATCATTTGCCATAATTATAAAAATTACATTACATGCTTTAACTAACTGAGATTACAATGTGAAATTAATGTTACAACCTGAATTATGTTTATTAAGCTCAATAATTCTTATAATTTATTTTCATAAATGATAATTATTATTTACAACAGTTTACTTTAAAGTACACCATTTAATTATTTCAAGAGATTAAAATTACATGTAAATGAAACAAACACATGGAGATAATTATACATGAAATATACATACAGTTGTAATTAATTTATGCAATAGCAATGCTGAAGCATGCATGGGTGATCAATTAAAATAATTTGTGATTGCAGTCACTAAAAGCTTGCAGCTCAGAATCACACATAGTTTTATAATATGGACCTGTGTATGACTACATGTTGTATGTATGTAGGAAATTAAACAACTTGTAACTGATCTACATGCAGAGCTCTTGTGCACTTATAGTGTACATGTCATACTTGTATGCACATTAACTAATTAATAAAAATTTCCAGTAACAATACAAATACTAATTAAAAGTTAATTAACCAATAGACACCTATCGTGGGCAGACACTTCCCATACACTTTAAGTGGAAACTTATGGGAGGCACATATACAAACACTACCTTTCTAACTTGCCATGAGCAGACCTTTTTCTACGAGAACATTTTTTCATGTCTCAAGAAGACAAGAGAGCCAGCTTAAGGCATGCATGACCGTACAGTGTACTTCAAGATAGCAAGGAGAGCAGCAGCTACAGAGACGGAAGGTCTGGAGTGGTCTTTTCTAGTGTGTGTCATTTACATGTACATGTCTAGCTTACTGGCACAGCACATAGTCTAGCTTCACTTTTTGATTACCTCTGTCAGAGTGCATAATTATATACAGTAAGTAAGCATGGTATCTGAAGACATTCTTTTTCTGACCAATAATAATTTATATGAACTTTCATCAAACATGCCCACCAAGATCGTTCCTACACATTCCATCAGGATGGTCTAATAGCAACATTTTCACCAGCATTTCCAATTAATGATGCTGGATGATATGGATGTAGGATCAAAATACTAAAAAAAAAAAAATTATCTAGACTATCTTGATGGCAAATATATTGGCAGGGTAACTTTTAATGCCAAATTGATTGACCATGCTGTTTTTTATTTTAGTGGAGCAGTCAGTAAAATGTGTCTCACCTGAAGACTTGTCTTGGTATTTATCAGGGGACCAATGAGACTCTATAGCTTTGCTCCTGGTCTTGATCTCCTCCTCACTTGCAAGTAGCACAGATAATAGCTGCTGGAATAAAAAGAATATTAGAGAAATACAAATTCACTCTTGGTTGGTGCCAATTAACCTGGGAACTACAGTGGAAGCTCTATTAATGGA